TTTGGGGAAACACCTTCTACAAAACAGGGGAGCATTACTATTTATTAACAACATCTGCAGTCTATTCCTTTACTTGAGCAAGTTTAGAAATATCAAGAAAGCACACTGCTTTTTGCAGCTAGTCTGAACTCTGCTGAGCCCAGGAGATAACCCATGGCTCAGTTACGCTTTCCATTTTTCAATATGCTATCAAAAGATAGAATTAAGAGATTGCATTAGCTTCAAGGGCATAGACAACTCTATGTTTTATAAAAGTTTCCATCAAAAAAAGGATCACCCCAGGACACACTGCAAAGATAGTGGTTGACTCTTCTAACAACCCTAGGAAGTGTTTCAAGCTCTTGCAGTTTGTTTAAATTTTATTGTAATCCTAAAAAGTCCTCAAATGTTTTAGACATTCACTTCCTTACCTTTAAAATAGGAGTAATACCCATATGATTTATTAAAGGAAGTTAATTTATGCAAAGTGTGGAGTACAGACGTGAAAAACAGTAATTTTGCACAGAGTGGAAAAGCTGTGATGATGCCCGGGTCCCACCCACTCCCACAGCAACGAGCTGGCAGGAAACCAAATCCTCCAGAGGGGACAAATGTGTCTGCCTGAGTTGAGAGCTCACAGTGAGCATCTAACACGGTGTCCTCAGTGCCATCTCTGAGGGGCTCAGGACATTGTCCCCTGGTGACAGCTGCCCTGGGGTGAGTCCTGGATCCCACAATGTTGCTTAGATGTGAAGAATGGTGGTTTTAGAACAGGTACACCTGCAGATGTCATTGGGATGAGACTTCTTTCTTACCTTCTTTCTTTCTTTTTTAAAAAAGATTTTTGCCTTAGGGCACATGCATTAACCAGAGAGAGAGAGAGAGACAGAGACAGACAATGAGAGGGAAACTCACACTGGGCATGTGTGCATATGTGCCCAAAATCCTGAGAGGAGAATGAAAAAAAGGGGACTGAGGTGTAGCCATCCCCCTCCAGGGGTGATTTCCTGCTTTCTGCCTCTGTCTCTCTCTGTTTCTCCAGCAAGCACTTGCAACCTGTGACAAAAATCTCTCTTAAAAAAAATGCGTGTCCCTCTTTGGCCATTTTTTTTCTTTTTTCTTGAACCTCATATTAATTCAATATTTTTCTGCCTCGTCCATATTGTTTTGGGGTTTTGTCTATACATATTTGCTCTTTTCCTTTCCTGTGGTTTCTCCAGGGTTTATAATGTTATTACTCTGTTTCTTCAAATAATGACATTACCAACTCACATATAATGTAGATAATTCTATTTACTTTCTTAACTTTTGTGCTGTTCTTGTCACACTTTCAACTACTGCATACAGTATAAAATCTGTACTACTATTTGGTTTAAATAATTATTTTTTAAATTTTTTAAATGAAGAAGTAGAATTTTGTTTTTCTAAAAATATTTTATTTTCCATTTATTTTATTTAAAAAAAAATTAATTACAGACCTGTTGTTGTTGTTTGCTGCAATCCCTTTTCCTCCATTCTCCTTCTGGGATTTTGGGCATGCAGCACACATGCCTGGTGTAATTTTCAAACCATCAGGACTCAAACTGCAGTTCGCCACGTGAAAATGCAGTGCATTAACAGCTACCATGCCACCTGCCAGACCCATTTTAATAGGGAATTCTACAAAGATAAATATGATTCTTTTCTTGCATTTTGTTTTTAATCATTTTTAAAGTACGCCTGTTGTCTTCTGGCTTGAATACTAACGAAGAAGAATTGTGCCTGTATTTTAATATTTATTCTAAATATACTTTGTCTTTTATCTTTGAGTGCTTTTAAGAATTTTTTAAATCACAACTTCTAGCAATTTGTTTATGATGCACTCTGTTCTGCTGTGTATCCATGTACCGGTGAGAGTGTTTATTGACAGTGTGGGGTTGCTGATTTGTGTTTTAGGGTTTTCATTACATTTAGGAAATTTAAGATCCACATTTATCTGGAACTTTCTAGTAAGCTTTTAATCATATGTTTTCTTTTCAGTTGCATTTTATCTCAGGAAGTTTTACTTGTTTTTTCTAAGCATTTACTTTTCTCTCCATTAAGTTTATTTTTCCCCTCATATACTTGAACATAGTTAAAATAGCTCCTTGATATTTTAAAGTCACTTTATTTCTTAGAACAGTTTTAGGTTTACATTACAGAAGAAAGGAGAGAAATATCCAATATATCCCATGACACAAGCCCTGCTCCCCCAGAGGCAACATCTGGCACTGAGTGGCGTGTTTGTTACCAGGAGGAGCTGCACGGACACAGCACTGCCACTGCAAGTCCATAGGTTACAGTGGGGCTCACTCGTGCTGCTTTGCATCCTGTGCACAATGGTGTCAAACAGTATTTTACTGCCCTGAAAATCCTCTGAGCTCTTCCTGTACTTTCTTTATCATTAATTCTACTGCAGACGGTCCTACTAGTTTTCTTCACTTGAAATCATTTTTTTGTATATAAAAACATGGGCTAGACTTTTTATTTCTCTTCTGCTTATAACAAAGTAATGTTACTTAAATTATTTATATAGTATCTAAGTAAAAGAGGGAACTATATATAGTTACTGAATTGCCAGTATGATACTTTGTACTTTATTCCCTAAGATAAAAACAACTTTTCAAAACATTTCTTCTGATTTCCTTTAGA